GTGGGACACTCTTTCGTTAGCTCATCAGCATAGCTACTATCAAGGCTTTTGTCAATGAGTCTGAGCTTTCCCTTTGAGTCTTCTTGGAACCTATCCCTGAATGAGCTGCAATGAGATGTTCCTATGGTGTGAGCCCCTACAAACCCAATGAAACCATCACTTCATAGCATGCAATGTGACCATAGTAAATGTGGTACATATATGTCAATGTACATGTTGGTTTGGTGGTTTACAAGCTTTTGACAACTTAGAGAAATCAACATAAAATGATCTGAAAACATGATAAGACCAGACATAAATCTGATTTCCAGGCACAGGTACGCGCTTATATATGATAAATTTTTTATTTTTATTATAAGTACTTGAAAATTATATTTAAGACAATCTCTTATTAATTGATGGTTTATATTAATATTACATGAAAATTTAGTTCATTTTTATAATAAAAAATTAGGTGAGTTGAAATCCAAAAACTCGTTAGGATTAGTCTCAAAATTCAAAAATCAATTGTAAACTACATAAAAATTATCTTGCAACAAGATCCTCACATTAGTAGCAGAATTAGAACTCGCATTCCTCTGAGGATGAGCTTGATCCTTAGCAATTGGACTAACATTTATTGAGTAAACTCATCTTTAAAATAGTATGATATCTTTATATAGAACGTACATTCCGTTTTTGAATGTTCAAATAGACAGAAAATAAAGCCACCAGCAACAGAACAGTAATTATAATAAATGTGGCGAGTACGTTCTCATCTACAAAGCATCAACAATTCAATTCTTTCTACCTAACAGAATGTATTGTCTAGCTCGTGCCTTTATGAGATTTTACCTCAAAAGTGAAGAAACTCATGGTCAATTAATTACCTAAGAGTAAAGGGCAAGGGAAGAGACTGAAAATCAAAGGAATGATACTTATTAAAGAGAAGCATGCTAATAGTTATAGGACCTGAAAATATATACTTGGAAGATATGCACCTGAAAGGATGACAAGGTCAAATAAGGACAACCCTTTATTGGAGAAGCGGTTAATCATCTCATCCATTGTAAAACTGGTGTCCAAAATGTTGGGTCTCACATTTGAAGCAATTGAAACCATTCCATCTCTTCTCCCGGTGGGAATTTGAATCATAGGACCACCAACCTGTTCAAAATTATCATACTAAATTAATTATTTATGGATATATTTCAATAAACTTCTCTAAAATTGATTCTGGGAGAGAAAAAAATATAAAAGAAAAATTGAAGTAAGTTTCTGTTTAAATTAAAGGTCTAAAACTAACTTATGCAGTAATTAAAAACAAGATTTTGAATAAGTTAAAAAGAGAAATCTTATAAAAATTAGTTTATATATATCGTGACGGAAAAAACTTATTTCATTTTTTCTTTTTATTTTTTTCTCTTAGAAGTACTTGTGGAAAATGTTGATATAAACAGATCTATATGTCACCGTAAGGTCGAAGAATATCAGCAATGTAACGAGGATAACTCACAATTTCAACAGCATCTCTAGCAGCCAAAGCAATTATGTCAGCACATGAAACTGCTCCAGGACAAAGGAACTCAAGGACTCTTTTTGCTGATTCTATGACTGAAAATCCTCCAACTGACCTATTTGCTGGATCACTTTGTTCTGTGTTATTCCCTTGTAGCGTCAAAGAAGCATCACATCCCTACATATCATGAACTGGTCATTGTTATCTTCAAACCCTTTTAAATTTTCCATCACACAAAACAAAAGAACAGAAGAAAGAAAGCACATTCCTAGTAACATTCACAGTAAAGTGTGTGAGAACAAAAAAATATAACATGGTCCTAGACTTTCATGGTTTTGATCAACTTCCACGTGTCACCTAACTGGCTCTGTTTAGATACATACTTGGAAGATCTTTTAAGAATTTCTCTACTAAAATTAAAGGGCTTTTTTTCTAATAGAAAAACTCTCAAAAGCTTGTATTCAAATAAATTCTAATTTTTTTTTTTTTGTAAATTTAAAATCTCAATTATATGTCATATGAAGATTGATCAAGACTATTGACACGTGATGGTTTCAGACCATGTAATAATTCCCTGTGTGAGATCAAGTGTTGTTCTAATAGTATACTATACACTAACCTCCACGAAGCAATCATGAAAAACCAAACGAAGGAGCTTCCCAGGAATTGAAGGATCAGAAGAAGAGGATGAACTGACAGTGTCTCTTACAATGAGTTCTGCTATGGGGCATGAAGCTGCATAGAAGTTGAAAACTAGGCTACCCGAAGCAGAAGTAGCAAAAAGGAAGATAGTAAAAAGACAAGAACAAGATATGTGAAAGAAAGGAAAAACAAATGCTCTTTTCTCCATAGAACCAAGTTTTTAGTCCTATTGAGTGAGTGCTCAGTGTTTGCAGTGTGCAGAGTCTCTCAGTCACATGATAATGATAGATAATATAGAAATACGGCAAAATATGACCAAATTCAAAGGCCTACATTTATGTGGTTGGATGAAGTCAGTGGCATGACATAAATATTAGAGGTTATGGTCATGCATTATTACAGCACTTAAGCATTTAAGATGCTTCCTGGTAATTAGTAATTACTAATATTGAATTGCATCAACCATAGAGTAGTTATTTCAAGTTTTCAACCACGTGTTATTGACGGATGTGAATAAAAATCTCTCTAGGGAGGAATCATCAGAGAAGAGTAATTTCATAGTTTCAAGGTCCACCATATGTAGTTTCAATTGTCTAGCACCAATTACGTTGTAGTGTATGCACTTCCTTAAGCATAGTAAGTAGTAAGTAACTACGGTTCTTACTTATTGACTATGAGTTGGAGCATATTTTGGTACAAACTAAAAATCCTACAATTAACCACATTGAAAGCATCTCTTGACAGTCCCTTGACTGCATCTGTTGCCCCTTTTGTCTTTGCAACATTATTGTGCAATCATTATTAACTTATTGTTGAATTTTAAGTGTGTAAAAGAGTCTCAAAGATCCACCTACTTAATGTCTTAAAGATTTGGATTATGATATAGTATCAAACTCACTTATGTAATTTTCACATTATCCATAGATGAAATATTCTCCACTATTAAAACTCTCCGACTTAACACTTTTTCTTCATTTTTATCACTGAATATATGAATGCAAAAATGAATAAGTGTTGCATCAATCTTTATATATAAAACAAGGAATCTTAATAATATATTTTTTAATATTTTATTTTGCCTTAAATGGTAATATTTTATTTTTATTTTTATTTTTATCTTATTAGAAAATTTTAATTAAATAATAATGTGATAAACATAGTGTTACATCACCGTGCTACATGTTATTTAAATAGGTATATGCTTTATGAACTAAAATGAAAAAAAAAATTAAATTACAGAGACTACAATGAGCTAAATAATTTTATAAGACTAAAAAAATAAAATATATCAAATTATAATAGTTAAAAAAATATTAAAGTTAAATTAAAAAAGGAGAGAAAGACAGAGTAAATCATCGTTAAAAATGGTTTTTTTTACTCCCTATGTTTGGTTGCTCATCCAATAAAGTGTATATAAGTGGAGAGTAATCCTCATCTTACAGATCAATTTTATAGGGTTGAGTTAAACCCCAATCTATTTTCTCAAGACTATAATTTGGGTGTATGTTTTTTCTCATGAAATACTACGAAGTGCATAACGGTTCATTTAGCCTTTCAAGAGGAGTTTTAGTTGTTCAAGGATAAGTAACTGTTCTAGGCTATGATTTCATGGCAGACTGAAAAGTTATAATTCAAAAAATCAAATGTAGTCTCTTCCATTTTGAATGTATCAAAGTGGAAAATGATGGTAATTTATTCACGTGTATTTATCTTATCTCTAAGATTGCCTGCTTTCCAAGTGGTGCTTCAAGTGTTTACACCGTTTGCCAGCAAGCAACCAATATGAACCGAGTTAGGGGCTTTGCTTACAAGTTTTTTGCAAGCATGGATGTCCTCGGGTAGTGTTCATGTTGCTTTGCCTACATAATCAAGGGTCTTCTTGTTTCAACTAAACTTAATACTTAAGTGGAAAAGAATACATTCTCGTTCTGTTTCCATCTTTTTGCATTTCTGTTATACCATGCTGGTGTAAAATGATTTCATCCCAAATTTTGTATCTCACCACTTTTCACCTAGTCAGTCAAATCAAACCAAGTGTACTTGCAATGGTTTTTACACAATTTTAATTGATTTTGCAGGTAATTGAAGAATGGACAGCACAAGTAAGTTCCAAAACAGGTAAGGAGTTTCAAGGATTTATTATCTTGACAAGTATCCACGTGTTCAATTTGACAATCTTATTTAATTGATATGTGTGTCATTATGGAGTAGAAAAATTTACTGGATGTCAATCCAATGGTTTGAATTAAATATGTATTTTATGCAACAACAAAAAAATGATTATTGAGAGGACAATAAATTGTGGTTTGTATTGATTTCACTTTAGAAGTGGTCAAATGGGGATTTGTTATTTATGACTCCAGTTGATGGTTTCTTAACATCTTTTCTCATCTTCATCTTTTTGGCTTCATGAATTTGAGTATCCTTGTGGCACAATTTGAATTTGCGGTAGTTAGTCGGTCTGGACGAGTGGCTAAGTGTTGGTTCATGTGGAAAGAAAGGGAAATGGAGTTGAGATAGACATCTGCTGTGATGAGTTCAAGGACAAAAAAGGGGAGAAATTGAGCTTGGGGTTGAGTGAGTTGTTGAGTCTCCAACTAAATGTGTTATCACTTCAGGTTCAACTGCTCAAGGTTTTTGAGACAATTGTTTTTTAGCCTTGGAAGGAACAGCTTGACCTTGTCGTAGTGGGGCAACTACATATAGCCCTGTAGGAAGAGTGATAGATTGAAGAAGAAATTGGATTGTTATTCTCAATGAATCAGAATAGACACATGAACAAATTGTCATGAACTAATTTTCCTTGAAGCTTAAGCCATTACCTGTAGGCTGAAGGTTCATGATTGTTTTTATATCTAAGCAGATGATAGAATGAAGACACTGTTTATGATGTTATCAATTTCTGCATTTTAGAAGTTGATTGTAGTAGCACCTTGGAATTAGTTGGTCTAAATAGTAACTAGTGTTTCAAACCACCATACCTAATCTGTACCAAATTTCAAATTATTAATCTCTAGGAGGTAGAAATCCACCTCAAAGTTGTAGCCTTGTATGGTGTGATCTCTAGTTGTTCACCCTTACATGTACCTTATTCCCCATTACGTAAAAAATTCCTGGATGATTTAGTGAGTTCCAAGTTCTGTATGAATCTCTTAGCCACATTTGTCATTGTGAAGTTATGTGTGCTTCCATGATCAATGTGAATGGATTTTTTCTTGCATTCCCTTTAAGTCACAAGGTGCTAGGGTGGAACTGACTTGTCAGTGCCTAAGTTCCTCTCTGTACATTTCATGCTGTTTCTATTTTTAACTTGTGTTGGTAAGAGAGTTATAACAGTTTCCACTATGCACCAGCTATTCATCTTGTTGCAACAGTTTTAACTTCTAAACTTCAGAAGTCACATGCCCGGGATGGTGTGCCTCATCATTTTCTCTTGTATAGCTTTTGCTTTTTGTATCAAAGGGAAGGGCTATCCAAGAATTTGGAATGACTACCACGGAATCTGTTTTATCGTAATGTGTGATCTTAAATAATTACTATGACACTGCAAAATTTCAGGAGTACATAATATGATGAATGTGAATGGATTTTTTCTTGCATTCCCTTTAAGTCACAAGGTGCTGTCATCTGTACACTGTTTGATTTCTGGAAAAATATTTTTCTTACTGAATATGTGTTGAATGCAGGGAATGAAACACATGATGCTGATTCTGGAGATATCAACAAACTACTATTCTCAGCTATAGATCAAAGTAATTGAACTGCTATCCAAGTATAGTATAGATGTTGCAGTTTATGCAAGCTCCCTGAGTTTCACAAATGATGCATACCGTAGACTAGTAGTAAGCTTCTAGCTGGTTATTCTTCTTTTAAGATGTAGCTATTCTAGGTTCCCTAACTGGTGTGGTTCTATTGTTGGAATGGCTAGCAGAAAACAAATTTGATTTTTACGTTAAGACGTAAACAATGATAGCATTAATAATGAACTCATTAACCATAATGTGATTCTTGCGTAATCCGATAAGGACCTAGTCACATGTATATGCAGAACATCCATAACCTTTGCAACAAGGTGGAAGGACATTTAGGAAAACCGACTTGACCAAAATAACCTTCAGAACTATATATCGGTGCCAGTAGTTGAAAGGAAATATACTGCATCAAAAGTTTAAACATTGCTTCATGTTGCATTGAAGCAATGACACAAGTTCATTTTAAACATAAGCAGATGAACAACACTGTGCACTGCTGTTAAAGATGCTGCTGCGTGTCTTCAGTTGTTCATTAACAAAAGTACAAGTAAACGGGGTGGTTCTTCTTCATCGTCTCTACACAAAAGATGTGAAGTATCTTTGCTACCTTAAAGTAGGAGGTTCTTTTAGCCACTTTGCACGAAAGCCTGTTCCTTGACAGTCAGAACAACACCTTGATCCCTGAATAAAAACAAATTAGAGGCACAATAAGTCTCAACAAATGCTGAGGATGGAATAGATATTCAATCTAGTCCTTAAATATTGTAAATATCGGTTACTTTAGTTCCTAATCTTAACAAAATTCTTAATTTAGTCCTTTTTTAAAAATATTTTATTTTAATTCTTTTGCACTTTTTTTTTAGTGTTTTTTTTTCATTCTTTAGCTCCAACAAGGGTTAGTGCAACTTTTTGTAAAATCATAGACTAAATTGACTATTAAAAAGTTCTTTGATTTTATAGCAATATCTTGAAATTTCGTTTAAACAAATTTGACTCGGTCAAAAAATAAGTAAAATCTAATTAAAGATTATTTTTATCAAAAATTGAATTCAGACACTATTTAAAAAATTTAACTTTGGATTCTGTAGGATACTTACCAAGTTATAAATCAAAATAACAAATAATTACAATTTTAGGGGTTAAAATTGCTCTTTCTTCAAATAAGTTAATGAAGTTATTAGGTAGAGCAACACTTTTTGTGATGCTAAAAGTACCTTTCCTTTGCAAATAACACAATTAGTGTTTCTGGATGGAATTTCACAAAGCATGTTGTCACCAATAATGAAGAAACCAGTACCCCCACACCATTTACATTCAGTATGCCCTTTAGAGTTGCAAGATGTACACGCAATTGGCCTTGGTTGCTGCAAGCATGATTAATATAGTAGAAATTAGTGTATTAATGGGGTTATCAAAATTCAATTAAATTACTCAAAATCTCTGCGATTTGCTTCTTCAATGAACATATATATGGTTTAGTTTGTTTGTTGCAAGTAGCTTTTACTTGAGTGAAGAATGGAAATAGACATTTTAGATATCTATTTTTTCTTTCACTTCCATGATTATGTGCCCGTTCGACAACCTAACAAAAACAATTTGACTATGATATACATTGTATTTATGACTTGGATAAATTTTAGCAAACCTCTCAATTGTATTTTAAAATTAAGCCTACTAAAATTCAAAATAAACGAATACATCTTCACTAGAAACTAAACAGTGAACATATGTGGTAGTGATTAAAGGAACATAGCAATATAAGCTACTGGCCTCAGCATGCTAAACTATCTTAAGAACTTATTACCTAATTGGTAATCGAATAAAAGTTTATAAAGGTTCAAGAACTACTACGGTTAATATAAATAGAATAACAAATATCAAAGTAAAATATTGTTCAGTTATTTATTACCAACATTTATTATTCTAAACCAAGTTTTTACTCAAGTCACTACTTTCCAACTTAAATTTTTGTAGCAAAGAAGGTTAATAGGAAAAAATTACCCTCACATCCTGAGGCAGATACACTATTAAATCTTTCAAAATACTTCTATTTTTATTCTTTTGTCAAACAACCCCCTCCCCCAAAAGGGTGTGTCAGGCTATCAATTCGTCTAAAAAAGAGAATATTAAATACAAAACATAAAATATCATGTCATAAACACATAACAAAGTGTAAAATATGGTTCATATTTTGTTTTTGTTAGTCCAATAGAACTTGTTGAATTGAATGAGAAAAAATAGACCTGAGAGATTAACCAGGCGAGTTCCAAGCGCTTAACAAAGTCAGAGGAAGAATCCACCATAAAATCTTGTACCCGGATTGTATTGCATGGCCTTGCTTTATTAGGCACAGTACATGTGACAAGAATTGGTGCTATGAACCTCACACTCTGCATTGTGTTAGACATGAGAAAAGACCCGTTACCACAAAGACACACAACTCTTCATTTTCTTCTTCTTGACAAAGATAGAGAGCAGTACAAGGAGAGTTTCAAGTTTCACTTAAATAATGAAATATGGGGTAATGGTTTTTGGTTTCATGGGGCGCAAAATGCAACTAGAAAGTAGAAACCCATTGGTTTTCAAGAGAGGTGAGACAAAGATATACTCCAGACCAAAGGTAACTCATTACTATAATGTATAGAGTTTGGACCCACTTACAAATATCATCCATGCAGAAATATAAAATATGCCATTTTGTTTCTTGTGGAAAAGGAAAGTCGACGTCTTTAGGCAATTCCATGTCCTAGTTACCGAAATTTAAAATGAAAAGTATAAGAGCTAAATGCTTTATTAATTTTTTATCCATATAAAATTAGTATCTATTTAACAAAGATTTTTTTTTGGTCCATTATAAAAAAACAATGGTTCTGTAAAAGTAGATTTTCTATTGGCTGTGCACAATTGATACAGAATCCGGTGTGAAATTTTGTAACCGAGTTTGGGTCACGGGCCAGTCTTAACCTCTAGGTACATATGAACATAACTCTTCTTCTTTGATCCAATTTTGGTAAGAAAAAGGCCTTCTAGCTTCGAATAAAAAAGTGAGAATTGATATTCACATCCTCCTTGTGCTCTTTCCCATTTGTTTTTTATTTTTAATATTCCCAAAATACTTTATTTTCTCTCTCTCCTTCCTTTTCTTTTTCTCACCTTCACCCTCGTCCTCCTGCCCTCCCCCATCCATATGCACCCCAACTTTAGAAGTTATTTTTAGTGTTTAATTTTTTTTTTCTTGTCATAACTTTTTCTTAATTCATTAGATTAAAGATTAATTTTACTTCCAATATTATAACTATCACTGATTCAAAAGAATTTTAGATACGAAAAAATTAAATATGAAATTTCTCACTAAATAAATTGTCTTTACAAAGTATGAGTTTAATGTACTTAATTATCATGTCAATTCATTGAATTTTGTAGTATTATATTTAACACACAAACTACGGATGACAACAAAGCGAGGTAGGTATGACTTTCAACATCTTTGTCTTTATCCTCGAGTTTGGGCCTTAATCTATCTCTGTCCCCATATTCGATGGATATAGAATTTGTGTCCCCATACATGTCCTATACCAGTTCAAAAATTAATTAAATATTATTTTTTTAAAAATATTTATAAAAAAAACAAGAATTCTAACAAAAAATAGTAATTACAAAATTATATTAATTAAGTTTCATCTAACATAAATTTCAAATAGAATAAGAATTATATAAATTTCAAGTAAATTCTTAAAAAAGTAAATTAAATTTTTAGAAATTTAAAACAATAATGTGAACGAAGATGGGGATGAGAATGAGGATGAGTACAAGCAAGGGGTAAGTATATATTCATACTCATCTCTATATTCAGTTTAATAAATTGGGTATTACTCATACTTGTAACTTGTCAAATCAAATATTTCTTGTCAAAACCGAAACAAATTCAAACATTATTCACGAATACAAATTTATTTGTCATCTCTATCACAAACATGAAAAATAAAATAAACCAGACTATAAAAAGGCTATGAAAATCAAACATAAATTTTTTTGCTAAATAAATTGTCTCCACAAAGTATTATGAAAGGTTCTTAATTATTATGTGAATCTATTAGATTTTGTTGTGTTATATTTAACATACAAAGAACAGATGACAATGGAACGAGATGGGTGCGACTTTCAATATCTTCGTCCCCGTCCCCGTCCCCAAGTACATGTCTTATACCCAACTTTGTTTTCATGCTTAACAGGTATGAAATTTGTGTCATCATCTCTATCCTGAATAGGTATTGGATATACTCATACCTATCATATATCTGTTTAAAAATTTATTAAATATTTTTATTTTCACAAAAAATATTAAAAACAATAAGAATTCTAACATAACATAACAATTACAAAAGTATATTAATTAAGTTTCATCTAACAGATTTAAAATAAAATAAGAATTACATAAATCTCAAAAACTCTAAAAAGATAAACTAAGTTTCTAGAAATTTAAAATAAGAATGATGACAAAGATGGGGACATAAACAAGAATAGGTATATATATATATATATATATATGAAGAGGATTC